TGGAGATAAATAATTAACTAAACAAATATATGTATTGTGGTACATAATTGGAAAGTAAAACAAAATCCTGCTTTAAATAACAGTTTTTTTTATTTAATGAATGTAATATTTTTATATTATCCCAGGCACTTGTAGTGTTTAAAATCTCATTCTAATAAGAGTTAAAAGCGCATTCGGTTATTAGGTTCATAGGGTTATTGAATTATGGTTAACGCTTGGTAGAATTTTTTTTTTAACATTATCTGCCAATTACATCTGCCACCCTTCTCCAAATCTGTGCCCCCCCCCAACAAAAATTTTCTAGACACGCCACTGGTTCCGACTGCCTTCAAACACGCAGCCGTACAACCTGCAATCAAGAAAAGCAACGCTGACCCCAACAGTCCTTCAAACCGATCTCTAAACTTCCTTTCATGTCTAAAATGTAAAAAAAATAGTCCTTCTTAGAGACATGGTGTCAGTGACAAATTTCAATCTGGATTCAAACCCCGTCATAGTACTGAGACAGCCTTATTGAGAGGTTTTAATGATCTCCTCTGCCGCCCTGTGACTCTAGTCTTATTAGATCTAACTTTCAATATCGTAGACCATAATATTCTCCTAACAAGGCTAGAACATGTAGTTGGCCTTAAAGGTAATGTTCTTTCATGGTTTAAATCGTATCTATCAGACAGATCCTTCTTTGTCACCATGGGGAAATACTCTTCCTCTTCTTCCCCTGCTAATTGTGGTGTGCCTCAGGTGTCTGCATAAGCCCCACGCTGTTCTCCCTGTACATGCTGCCTTTGGGACTCATCTTTAAAAAACATAACATCTCCTATCACTACTATGCAGATGATATCCAAATTTACTTTCCTCTAAATTTGGATGCCTCGTCCCCACTCTCACCTTTGTTCGAATGTCTGCGGGAGGTTAAAGACCGGCTATCCCAGAATTCTCTGATCTTAAATGAAAGCAAAACAGAAATTAGTGTTTTTGATAGCCATGTTCCCCCTGGGCCAGCTAACTGATACAATGGGGTCTTTCGCCAGCCACTTTTCTCATCCTGCTCATCGATAGTTCTTTTAAATTAAACAAGCAGGTATCCACTGTGTTAAAAACCAGCTTTTATCAATTACGCCAAATTTCCAAAGCTAAGCCCTATTTACCACATAAAGAACTCGAAAAACGTATCCATGCCTTCATCACTTTTAGATTGGACTATTGCAACTCTCTTTACCTGGGCCTCCAACTCCCCCTCCTTCAGTGCCTGCAATTAGTCCAAAATGCAGCA